ACGTGATGTTTACCTCCCGCATCATATGCTCATCTTGGATCCAAGTTAGATGCACAGTCCTGTCGTACAGACCATTATAGGTGGTTCCGACTCGTAGGTGACTCGCGATTATTCGCACAGTCTTTACGTGATCGTAGCACTTGAGCGTATTTATTTACACTCAGTCCTGTCGTACAAACCACTTTAGGTGGTTCCGACTCGTGTGCAGGTATAGTTGTTAAGATGTGGATTGAGCTCTAGATTCAGCCTTACAGATCACGTTCGGTGACTCCGGCTGACATATCTTTTGCATTGATTGATATCACCTGGTTTACTTATATTTTATGCTGAGATATTTGACATGACATATTTGTGGATTTTTCTATTTCGAGTATGGTTTCGATATATGTATATATTCTATTTTCTGAGAAATTATACAGGTTTTACGGAGAAGGGTTAGAACTTTTGAGAAATGAAATGATTTTGAAAAGTTTTCTTTTTGCCCACTCACGCTTTCTGTTTTTTGCCCCTCCAGGTTCTAGTTTGAAGTGCTTTAGTGGCTCACGAAGGTGGTTCTGACAGAACAACACAAATGTAGGATCACCTTTGGGTGTTGTATAATTAATATTCGTCTTGCTGAACTACACTTAGGCTACTTATGCTCTGATTGTGTTTTTCACACTTAATCTTACACTTGTTCTTAACTAGTACTGCTAGTAGTTCGGTTTTTATTTATTCGCATTTTTATCATTATTTATGTTTCCGCACTATGCACATGGCTACGTCACCCTCACATGACGGCCAACACGTCTTAATTTCGGTCGGGTGTGTCAGTGTAAGCTTGAATAGAGGAAAGTGTGCAACATAAGCGAATCATTTCTGATGATATGAGGGGATTGGATATGACGATGATCACGGAGCTTATGCAAGACTACAGGAAAACTTTTGGTGTTCTAATGAACAACTTTTGTCATCTTTTATCAATATAAACGAAACAATATTCCCTAACAATTTTTGCGTGTAAATAACCCAACGTTTCGCTAACTTTTTTATATAAGTACTACTATCGAACGAAAGCTACAAAAACTACGTAAATCAAATGTGTCGATCTAATCTTTTTTTGTTGATATAAACAAATTTTTTATGTGGATTGTATCACTCAAATCTATTGTATGTAAAAATCTTCCTAACATTTTCATTGTAAACAATATTAATCTTTTATGATACAACCTTTAATATCTTTCAAACATAATCTTTCGGGTGCTTTAGATTTTGATCCTTACAATTCATGATTCCTAGATAAAAACTCATCTACATATAAACGTCCAATAAAAGCCCAAATTTAAAATCTACAACCATATCGAAACACTGTTGACCTCCTAATACAATTTATTTACACCCATGCCACTTTCCCAAATCCATAAATTTATTCCAAATTAAAAGTTGTAGAAAAAGTGAAATAAAATAAATATATAAACTGCAGTATTGCATTAATTGTATTCATATCATACCAAAAATTTACCTTTTTGTAATATATATTATTTTTTTCATTAATTGGGAAGTAAATTAATTTGTTCCAATTATTAAAAAAAAATAAAAAATTGAGCTTTCACCACAATAGCAAGATATGAATCCAATATTCATACACCTGTTGGTCCTGAAAAATATAAGTCATAAGTGCATTTTGGAGATGAACTTGCTAGACATTTGGAATTTTGATAAAAATGTCTACAGGCTTACCATAAGTACACTTTTAATAGAAACGCTTAGAAACCAAAGTGTTTTCAAGATTAACATCCCTAAAACGAGTCTTACTGAGTCTGTTGGATTAACCTAAATGGCAAGATATGTGTTTTTCCCTTCTACTTTTCTTTGCAGCTTTTCCATAACCATGATCTAAAGCATGCATGTTGGCTGATTGGTGTTAGCACTCAAAACCGATTAGGCTAACAAAAGTTGAATGGATCAAGTGATGACTGTTGATAGACTTGGGCCTTGCAACTTTGCAACTAATGAAAAATGGAGACAAAAATTAAGTGGTTCACCTTTTAAAATTTGGTTACGTTCACTGAGTTTCTTTCAATTAATGATGAACTAAGTTGCAAATAACGCCTAGCTAAAACTATATCTCTATTTCTCCAATTGTTTGACCCCATTCAAGGGGTACTTGGCATCTTTATATTGGGAGGAGGATTCTCTACCCTCTTATTCTCATTCCCTTTCATTCTTTCCTCTCACACGTTGTTTTTTGCCTTATCTCTATAAAAAAAATTAATATAAGATGTTGATATGACTTAACCGTGACCGTTCAAGTAGACCGGGATAGAAGAGTAAAGAGATTAAAAGGATAGATAATCTATCATTTTCTTAGACCTATCACTTTCTTGGCATTTAAGGCGCGGAATGCACATATCTCCTCTTTTTAGACAACACGTGGTGACGAGGTGTCTTTTATGCGGATCCACTTGGCTTGGGTCCTTTTTTGAAAAGATATTTAAGTATGATTGGAAAATGAGATGGTACACTACGTATCATGATACAAATAATAGGATATATGTATTAAAAAGTTAATAATTTTTAAAAAAAATTCTACCATTTACATAAAAACACATAATATACTATTTGTATTCCGGTCATAATAAAAATTTTCTCTTTTTCTTGGAATGACATGGTCGAGCGCCAAGCTCGACTCTATATTGGTGAGTTCGCATTCGAACACCCTACCTGTCAATCATTACGTTCTTTTATAGGTCCTTGTCCCTTTGCTTAACCGCCACATGGCTCATGGTCGACACTTGCATATGCCTACCATCCCCTGCTCTTGGTGCTTTGTGCCCAACATTTGTCGGATGCCCCCTTGTTCCTTGGTCTTCCTATTGACCTGTGCTCCTCTAGGCCTACATCCCTTTGGACTGATGTTTCTTGGACTATAATTTTCCATCTACTTCTTTCACATTCTCTTATTTTATCTTTCTTTTGTTATAAAAAATTAATATAAGATATTAACATGGTTTAACCGTGACCGTTCAAATATGATGGGAGGCAAAGAGAGGAAAAAAAATCCTACTTCATGTTTCTTTGGGCTTGTCAGGATTGGGAAGGACCCTGTGTTAACAATTGGTTCACCCACAAAGCCAAAAGTTAGTCATCTCTTCAAGTATCGACAAATTTTCTAATGTGCATGGAACATAAGGCCGTAAGCTATATGTTAATATATAAGTAAAGAGACTTTTTTTTTTTCTTCTAAGTATCTCTTTACGTATATAATAACATAAATTGTCCCTCAAGTAACAAGTTGATAAGCTTAAAACATAAGAGTACTGGCTTATTGGCCTAATTTTTTGGTGTTTGGTTTGGTTTGGTTTGGTTGTTGTAACCAGCTTAACCATTGCAATCCTAATCCTATAAACTTTAGGCGGCCACACCAATCTCTTATACAGGCACCTGGATAGGTGACTGGTCCATTGCTACCGCATTACAAATCTCAGCTTTGAATTTGATAGTACTCCATTAATAATACAAATGAAAACTAATGAAAATGATTTGAAAACTTTGAGTTTAATCAAAATAACAAAAAAATATTGTAAGTGAATAGTATCATAAGTGACTTTTTAGAGTAAAAATATCATTTTTCGTTAAAATAAACAATACCGAAAATATTTCATTAAAATTCCCTTAAGACAATGGGAGCTGCTGTCTCTGCAGGAGAGGGGAAGAAACGAAAAAGAATTTATGGAAACAAAATGCTAATAGTGAAACGCTTGTTTAATAACCATTTGATTTTTGGTTTCTAGTTTTTACTTTTTGTGTTATTATCATATATATATATATATATATATATTTTTTTTTTTTTTTTGTGTTTTTCAAATTGACAATTTGATCCAAGCTTTAAGGAGTAACTGAGCCTTTCGAGTCATCAATCTCTACTCGAGTAATGCTCGAAACCCCTCTCAAGATTTCTCGAGCTACGCTCGAACCCTCTCTATCAAAGCTCGAACCTCTTGTAGTGATTAAGGGTTTGTTTGGTATCCATTTTGTATCCATTTTTTAGTACTCATTCAAAAACAAAAATAATGGACTCAAATTCTTCAAAATGTTTAAATTTTTTATTGTTCACTTTAACAAAAAGCTCCTAATATTGTTCACTTTAACTAAAAATCACATTTTTACACTAAAAAGTCAATCCTCGTACTATTCACTTTACCATTTATTTTGTCCTTATCATTAAAATTCAAAGTTTTCAAGCCCATTTTCATTAGTTTTCTTTTTTTTTTATTTTATAATTTTTCCAAAATTCCTTATATAAGATTGTATTTAGAACATTGTTAGTAAATTCGTGTATAATATGCATATTATGCACGTACATACGTGTTTTTCAAAAATATTTCCTTTTTCAATACACATCTTAATAATTCGATAAATTGCACAATTTCTAAAACTTCAGTGTATGATACACACGCTTATGTACTTTTTACGCTTAATACAAGTTATTTAGACCAATTTTTCAACAATATGCATAAAATTTGGATACTATTTTATCAAAATTTTGGAATTTTTTAGAAATTAAAACACCACAAGAAATTAATATATATATATATATATATATATATATATATATATATATATATAAAGCTAGCACTTTAAAATGATGAAGCTTTCAAATATGACCTTTCTAATTAGAATGTTAAAATAAAAATATCGAATAAAAATGTTAATTAAAAATTCTGAAAAAAAAAGAGAGTAAAAGATTCGCATTCAGTGTAGGGCATATTTATTGTTTATTTCTTTAAATCTTTAAAATAATTATAAAATCAATATTTTAAATAAACGATATTATATAAAGTCAAAAGTGAAAAAATAGATTAAATCTACTAGTATATTACTTTTACAAGTGAAGAGGCGTCAGGCGTGTGCCAACAGAAGAAATGCTGTTTGGGATTGCGTGAGGGTCATGTAGGCTCCCTGCTACGCTTGTTTCTTAACTACGTCAACAACCCAACAAAAATAAAAATAAAAATAAAAAACATCAGTAACACAAACTCAACGAATCCAATCCAATCTGAGAAGAAGAAGAGGAAGGAGAGAGTGAGGAGGAGCTGAGAAGCAGAGAAGCATGGGCGATCCCGGGAAGCTCAACTCCTCAAGCTCCGAATTGGACCTCGATCGCCCCAACCTCGAAGATTACCTTCCTTCCGGCACCTCCATCCAGCAGGAACCCCACGGCAAGCTTCGCCTGTATGTTTTATGCAGTCCCTCTCTCTCTTTCTTGTTATTCTCTGTTTGGTACCTGAGAAACTGTGGGAAATTTGAGAGAATTTTCTCATCGCAATTTGCTTCTCAGGCGTGATTTGCTAGACATATCTCCTACCTTAACCGAGGCTGCTGGTGCCATTATCGATGTAAGTCCTCGCTCTCCAGTTTCTTTCTCATTTGATTGTGGAATGCATCATCTGATAAGGTTCTAATTGTTTTGGGAGAAAGTGAAGTATTGAAAATTTTAACTGGAAGCTAGCTAAAGTTTGCAATTTTGTGGAATTTTACTCAATCTTTGTGTAAATTATTGAACTTTTTTTTATTTTTTTTTATTTTTTATTTTTTATTTTTTTTTGAACTGTAAGCTAGCCGGTTGAGTAATTAATTGGCTCTGGATTGCTTTATTTTCACCAATTTCTGTTGAGTTGAAAGCTTTGTGATTTTATCGAATTTTACGCAAGCACTGTATGAATTTGTATGATGATCATGAATTCGAATGAACAGGACTCGTTCACAAGGTGCTTTAAGTCCAATCCTCCGGAGCCGTGGAACTGGAATGTGTATTTGTTCCCTTTATGGTGTTTTGGAGTGGTGGTTCGGTACTTCATTCTGTTTCCTGCGAGGTTAGAATCTTCTATGTTTGGTTGAAAAACTTCAATTGTTTCATGCATTCATTGCATCACGCAATAGCTTTACATGTTCTGGTTTGTGGGTATCGGAATTGCAATGCATAGTCTGACTGATTCTCGATGATTATGCTGTCCATGGACCATGGTTACGGGTTCTTATATCATTCCTACTTTAGTCTCTTAAAGCGGCTCAATTAATTCTACAGGGTTCTCGTTTTGACAATCGGATGGATAATTTTCCTTTCATCTTTCATTCCAGTGCACTTCCTGCTGAAGGGCCATGATAAATTGAGAAAGAATTTAGAGGTGCACATTCTTATCTATGATTTCATTTCCTTTGACTGGTTTCTATCCAAAATATTTGGTTTCAGTTTTTATTAATCAGCATTGCATGTTTTCTTATCTTCTGATAACGATATTGGACCCCTCTAGGCATGAGGTCAAATGACATTTGTATTTGCATAATTTATTAACGACTGCTCTAGTTGTATGGTTGGCTTTATGCATATAGAATCTATTTAAGCATGCTCAAACATAGTTGAAATGTGTCTTTGCAAAGAACGCTATTCTTCTTTCACACTGGTTGGAACAATGATGTATGGCATGCCACCTACATTGACTGGAAAATTTATGAGTAATCCTTCCAATTTTGAAAATGGAAGCAATGGCCTGCATTTCTTCTATGTATTATTACATATGTATGATGGCATAAGTTGTCCAGCTACCAACAAACCTTTGACTGCTAACCCAATCTTCTTACATCCACCCCAACTACCTCTCCTTATAAAATGAACCACAAACTATACAATACAAAGATTATCCTCTGGACAACGAGGGTCGGTTGAGTTGGTAAGGATCGTTTCCTCGCTAGACCAAGGCCTAGGTTTGAATCCCGCTGCCGGCAATCCCTCTTGGTGGGTGATCTGTACAAACCAAAAAAGGGGCTGAGACCACCTGTGTAAGTCCTCAAAGAGGCTTGTGGTATGCCCTGGCGGTGGGATGGGGTAGCCTCCCCTCAACTTAACTTTTCTAAATCAGAAAATTATCATCTGGCACAATTAATACACCTTTTAGCTATCTGAGAACTGTCCGCAAAAAATTTGGAGTAATAAGGTAATGAAAGGTGGTCATTGTACTCTTCATAGGATTTTCTGGCAATTATGTATGCATAATCTCAAGGGTGGATATCTCAAGTATAGTGTAACAGTTAACAAACTACATTTATGTTTCAATGCTCCTTCATTTCACTGTTTGCTTTCTGTAATGGCCTTCATGTAGTTATTAAGCTGTGACATTTGTTTTCCTTTCAGAGGCTCTTGGTAGAGTTAATTTGTAGCTTCTTTGTTGCATCTTGGACTGGGGTTGTGAAGTACCACGGACCACGGCCCAGCATGCGGCCTAAGCAGGTACATTTTTTTTAGTCTCATAATTCCTTTTTAAAACTTCATCCAGTATTTTCCATCTTTTTGGGAGCTGTTATCGGCACTCCGAAATGTCATCCTGTACTGCTCCACTTATATTTTCTCGCTTATGTTTTTATAAATCAGGACTGCAAGATGATTTTTTTGAGGACCAATTAAAGCTCACATCTTTTACATAATCAATTTTTATTTGTTTCTTAAATGTCTGTCTTGTGATATCTTTCATGGTTTGCGCAGGTCTTTGTGGCCAATCATACTTCCATGATTGATTTCATCATCTTAGAACAAATGACCGCATTTGCTGTAATTATGCAAAAGCATCCTGGATGGGTTGGTAAGTGTCAATGTAGCTTTTACATTTTTGTAATCAATTATCAGAGTAGTATAGGTTTACATGGATATTTAGAATTGAATTATTGCAACCTTATCATAAATTATTGCTTATATCTTTATTGGAAGTGTGGCGGTCGTTCAAAACATTTCAAGCACACTTTTATGTGTTATCCATGAAAATGAACCATTAGCACGCATGTATCATTTTGGATTTATCCAATTTATGCAGTTCTTGTACAATAATGATCCATTATAGATGTGTAAGTTATTAAGACCATGGAATAGAAGTTTGCCGAGGTTAGCATATCAATGTAATAGTGATACCATTTCGTTGACTGAAAATGTACACTCTCGATAAGTTTTCTTGTTGTGCATTGATCATTGATGACTCTTATATGTTTTGAAGGAGGGGTGCTTGGTTCGTTTGAATGTCAGCACTGTTCTATTGTTGCTTTCCACAAAGAGTGAATCTTTAATACAGTCAAGATTTACAAAAATCCGAATTTGTCTTTTCTATAATAAGAAATAGAATCCAATGAGAATTCTCTTCGTTTATGCTTCTTGTGAAGGATTGTTGCAAAGCACTATTTTGGAGAGCGTAGGGTGCATTTGGTTCAATCGTTCAGAGGCAAAGGATCGGGAAATTGTAACTAAGAAGTAAGTATAAACCGAAAGTCCATAGTAGTAATTTTTTTTTTTCACACCATGGTCCATGTCATTGTTATATGAACTAGTAGTCTAGTACAGATCCTTTTTTTTCAGATTAAGGGACCATGTGCTGGGGGCAGACAACAACCCTCTCCTTATATTTCCTGAAGGAACGTGTGTAAACAATCACTACACTGTTATGTTTAAGAAGGTAACTGTGTTCTAGTTTAAATTTTGCTCATTTAAGTTTGTTTGATATTCACGACTAGTTTATATTTATTGCTTGGTATTTGTTATTTACTCTAACTTTCAATTTATATTTTGCTTAGGGTGCATTTGAGCTTGGCTGCTCAGTTTGCCCTGTCGCAATCAAGTATAACAAAATTTTCGTCGATGCTTTTTGGAACAGCAAAAAGTAAGGAGTGAATTCGATCCTTCGACGTTCTAAATATTTTCCTTATTTGACTTGTGTCTTTGCTTGAAAGTGTCTAATTCACCTTGCACGCTATTTGAAGGCTTAAAATGTTCTATGTTGCTTAAACATAGTAATTATACTTAGATTCCATTCCATAGAACTTGGCCATTGGTTGTGCTTAAATCTGTAATTTAGGAAACATTTACCAAGGTGTTGGGGGCCGTTGGGCTGTTGTGATACTAGAAGGGTTATATGATATGATTGTGTTGCAGGCAGTCCTTCACAGTGCATCTGCTACAACTTATGACGTCATGGGCTGTTGTTTGTGATGTGTGGTATTTGGAGCCCCAAAACATTAGGCCTGGGGAAACCGCCATTGAATTTGCAGAGAGGTAAATGGTCTTTTTTGGACTTGTAATCAGTGACAACATGCCAACCCTTGGTTGGTATGGTCTTGTTTATCTCCACTATTTTGGATGCTTTCTATGCAGGGTCAGGGACATAATTTCTGTTCGAGCAGGACTTAAGATGGTTCCGTGGGACGGGTATCTGAAATACTCTCGGCCCAGCCCAAAGCACAGAGAGCGAAGGTAAATCAAACTTCTATTACCTCTCTCTCTCTTTCTCCCCAAGTGATTATGCAAATGAACAAAAAGAAAAAAGAAAAAGATTAAAACACATGCAGTTCACAATCCCGGTGCTTATTGGTTGTTGTTGTAGAAAAAGGTATGTAGGCTAAAAATTATATTTGTTATTGATACATGAATGTGGAAAAATGGAAGAGAATGCAAATGGAAGAGAATGCTTATGGAAGAGAATGCAAATGGAAGAGAATGCTTATTTTTTCATTATCTTTCTTTACAAGATTACAAGGATATATATACATGATACAAATGTGTAGGTAGGACAAGGTAGGACGGCTAGTAGACAAGCTAGGACGGCTAGGAGACAAGCTAGGACGACTAGTGACAAGCTAGGACGGCTAATGACAAGCTAGGACGGCTAGGAGACAAGCTAGGACGGCTAGTGACAAGCTAGGACGGCTAATGACAAGCTAGGACGGCTAGTGACAAGCTAGGACGGCTAGTGACAATCTAGGACGGCTAGGAGACAAGCTAGGACGGCTTGACGACTGTAGGACGGCTTATTCTTCCAATACTAATATTATATACAATTACACAAGGATTCCAACCATATTCCTTATTTGTCTAACACTCCCCCTCAAGTTGGAGAGTGAATGTCAAGAACTCCCAACTTGCGTAACATACCCGAAAACTTTTCTTTCCCAAGAGGTTTGGTAAACAAGTCTGCCAACTGTTGTGCCGTACCCACATGCTTGGTCTCTATTGTGCCATCTACAATCTTATCTCGTATAAAGTGACAATCCATCTCAATGTGACGAGTTCGTTCATGAAAAACAGGATTGGCAGCTATATGTAACGCTGCTTGATTATCACAAAATAAAATGGAAGGACCATCCAAAGGAATGTTCAAATCCTTCAACAAAAAACGAAGCCAAACTATCTCGCAACAAGCACCTGCCATGGCCCTATATTCCGCCTCTGCTGAAGAGAGCGAAACGGTTTTCTGTCGTTTCGTCCGCCAAGAAATCAAAGAACCGCCCAAGAATACACAATACCCAGTAGTCGAACGACGAGTGATAGGGCAACCTGCCCAATCAGAATCACAAAACGCAGTTAACTTGGTCTGGTTGTCAGAACGAAATAATAAACCTTGACCTGGAGTAGCCTTCAAATAACGAACAATACGAAGCGCAGCATCCATATGAGATATCCTTGGCTCGTGCATAAAACGGCTTAGAACATGCACAGAATAGGTGATATCCGGCCGAGTGATAGGGAGATATATTAACCGACCTACTAATCGTCGATACTTTTTAGGATCCTTGAGAAGTTCTCCTTTATCAGATAATTTTGTGTCATCCATAGGAAAAGCAATGGGTCATGCTCCCAAAAAACCATAGTCCTTGAGAATCTCTAATGCATACTTGCGTTGAGAAATATAAATCCCTTGTTTGGAACGAGAAACCTCAATACCCAAAAAATATTTTAAATCACCAAGGTCTTTTATCCGAAAATGATCACGGAGAAAAGACTTCAGAGAATTAATGGCACTAGCATCATTGCCTGTAATCACAATATCATCCACATAAATGAGCAAAGCTGTGAAAGAAATACCAAACTTTTTAGTGAACAATGAATAGTCAGCTTTGGATTGTTGAAAACCGGCAGAAATGATGGCACTAGTGAATTTGGCAAACCATTGGCGAGAAGCCTGCTTAAGACCATAAAGTGACTTGTGAAGGCGACACACAAGATTCTCCCCCTGTCGCCGAAGACCAGGAGGAGGAGACATATAGATTTCTTCATGTAAGTCACCATGTAAGAAAGCATTATTAACATTAAGCTGATGAAGAGACCAAGACTGACTAGCAGCAAGAGCAAGAAGACAACGCACCGTAATCATCTTAGCAGTAGGAGAAAAAGTGTCATGATAATCAATACCTTCAGCCTGAGTGAAGCCTTTAGCAACCAAACGAGCTTTGTAGCGGTCAATAGAGCCGTCGAAATTGTGCTTGAGTTTGTACACCCACTTACAACCAATGGGAATTTTGCCAGGGAGCAAGGAAGTTAAAGTCCAAGTACCATTAGCATGTAAAGCTTGAAGCTCCTCAGTCATAGCACGTTGCCAATTGGGGTCAGTGGCAGCCTCGGCAAAGGAGGAAGGCTCCACAGTCCGACTGACAGAGTTAATGTAAGAAAAATGCCGGGGAGAGTAACGGTGATAAGAGAGAAAATTACAAAGTGGATATCGCGTACCTTGTGTAGAACCGGGTTGCGAAGTCGAAGATGGGTGGGATGGCAGAATCACCTGCGAGCAAACGTAGTCTTTTAAATAGGATGGAGGTTTATGGGCACGGGAAGAGGTGCGGGGAAGGGGAGGATTGGTAGGTAGTGGGGGGGGGGGTAGGGATGTCCGTGGGTAAAAGGGTGAAAGGTAAGGAAGTAGCGGGGGGGGGGGGGGGGGGGGGGGGGGGAAGGAGGGGATGCCGAGAGGGCAGGGGCATGGGGAGGAACGGGTAATGGGGCAGCAAGGGAATCTGTGGGAGGCGTGGAAGGGGAGGAAGGTGGAGGAGGGTGAGGCGTCGGGGCAGGAAGGGGTGGGTTATATGTAAAGTCCAGAGGGGGTGGGATGGGTAGGGTAGGCGAAGAGGATGGGATAGGAGGGTGAGAAACGGCATAAGGGAAAGTACTTTCGTGAAAGATGACGTCTCGACTAGTGAAAATGCGGTGATTGTCGAGATCGTAAAGGGTATAGGCCTTTTGTCCATGAGGATAACCGAGAAAAATGCAACGATGAGCCCGAGGGGAAAATTTGGTGGTGGGAGTGACAGAGGTGGCATATGCCAGACAACCAAAGACGCGGAAGTGGTCATAAGATGGGGTTTTCGAAAAGAGAACCTCAAATGGGGATTTATGATGGAGAAGACGGGTAGGGAGACGATTGATGAGATAAGTAGCGGTAAGAACACATTCCCCCCAAAACTTGATAGGAAGATGGGATTGAAAACGAAGGGCGCGAGCGGTTTCAAGAAGATGACGATGTTTTCTTTCAACAACGCCATTTTGTTGGGGGGTATAAACACAAGAAGTTTGTAAAAGCACCCCATGATCAGAGAAAAAACTACGAAGAGATAAAAATTCACCACCATTGTCAGTACGAATGCATTGGATGGTAGTGCGGAATTGGGTAGTGACATAAGCAAAAAAATCCTTAATTAATTGTTGAGTGTCGGATTTATGTTTCATGAGGAAGACCCACGTAAAGCGAGAAAAATCATCCACAATGGATAAGAAATAATTAGCACCAGAAAGAGAAGATTGACGATTCGGGCCCCAAATATCACAATGAATTAAAGCAAAAGGGAAAGTTGATGAAATTGAACTCAAAGGAAAAGGTTGACGAGTTTGTTTTGCCAACGGACAAACATCACAAATATGACTAGAATCAAAAGTGCAATTAAGAGAGCTAGATGCTAAAGCTTGCAAACGAGTGGAGGAGGGGTGACCAAGACGCCTATGCCAGAGGGAGGAGGGGATGGTAATGATGTTGCAGAGAGGTTGATGGGTGGGGAGAGAAGAGGTAAGGGCCACAAGGTAATACAGATCGCCACGTCGCTTACCCACACCAATCATCGCCTTCGAAACCAAGTCCTGCAAAACACACCAAGAAGGAAAGAAGGTTATGGAACAGGATAATCCATCTGTAAGTTTACCAACCGATAAAAGGTCCACTTGGAAATTAGGGACACATAAAACATCATTCAAAGTAACTGAGGAATTTAAAGGAAGAGTGCCGGTAAAAGTAATGGGAGCGGAAGCACCACTGGGCAAAGAAACAGGCGGCAAATGTGAAGGAGAACGATTAACCAAACATGAAGCGGAAGAAGTAATATGATCCGTAGCACCACTGTCAAGAATCCATTGACCATGACGAGAGGTGACAGGTAACAAACCTTGGGCAAAATCAGTAGTGAGCACGGCATTGGCCTGAGGAGGGGTGGTGGTGTCACGTAGAGCAGCTAGAACACGGGAGTGCTGCTCGGCAGAGAGGTCAGGCATGGCAAGCTGCAAGTCATGCAAAGTGGGCTGGGTCCCGTGCACTTGGTGGGTCGCTGGAGTAGAAGAGGAGGCGGGGGCCTGGGTGCCTTGCACGTGATGGGCCTGGGTGAAATTATGGGGCCGGGAAGCAGAAAACCGTGGCTGCTGGGGAGGACTGGAAGGTGCATGGCTGCAGGAAGAACTGGAAGCAGTGGCACGGCGCGGTGGTCGCCACGGTTGGCCATGAAGGGGATGGCCAACGGGATAGCCATGAAGTTTATGGCAGGTGTCTCGGGTATGATAATCAAAATTGCAGTAGGTGCAGTGGAGGGGAGGACGAGCATAGGAGGGACGGGACGGGCCACGAACAGCCATGGGAACGACAGAGAAAGCTGCCGAAAAAAAATTAGGGCTAGGGTTATAAACCTACTCTGATACCATGTAGAAAAAGGTATGTAGGCTAAAAATTATATTTGTTATTGATACATGAATGTGGAAAAATGGAAGAGAATGCAAATGGAAGAGAATGCTTATGGAAGAGAATGCAAATGGAAGAGAATGCTTATTTTTTCATTATCTTTCTTTACAAGATTACAAGGATATATATACATGATACAAATGTGTAGGTAGGACAAGGTAGGACGGCTAGTAGACAAGCTAGGACGGCTAGGAGACAAGCTAGGACGACTAGTGACAAGCTAGGACGGCTAATGACAAGCTAGGACGGCTAGGAGACAAGCTAGGACGGCTAGTGACAAGCTAGGACGGCTAATGACAAGCTAGGACGGCTAGTGACAAGCTAGGACGGCTAGGAGACAAGCTAGGACGGCTTGACGGCTGTAGGACGGCTTATTCTTCCAATACTAATATTATATACAATTACACAAGGATTCCAACCATATTCCTTATTTGTCTAACAGTTGTGTGTGTGTGCAGGCAACAAAACTTTGCTGAGACTATGCTACGACGCCTAGAGGACAAGTAAAATATGTTTTTCTCTCTCGTAGTTGATTTACTTTAGCACGCAATGCATGTTCTGCACTCAATTTCCTCTTCATAAGAGTAACTGGTTATGATGCCCGATAAGAAGCTGCCTTTTCTATAAAAGAAGTAAACGAACTACTTTCTCAATGCCAAGTTGTTTCTTGAATACAAACCATGTATGAAGCTTTGATTTCCGCAGGGTTTGCTCGAAATTTTGTAGAAACTTGTCATTAGTTGAAACATCTTGGTCTAGTGCTGTGTCGCTAATTGAGTACGCATCTTAACATGAATGTACCTTTATGTGAAATTGATGATTAGATGCCTTGGTCTTGGATTTTAGATTAGTTTTTATATTCTGGTCTTGCTCCTTTCTTATTGTGTTTTACCTTCTCGTCCCTTTGATTCCCAAGTGTCATAAAATGAAATCTCCACTTTGGCAATTAAACCGAGGGCAAAGGAGATTCTCTTCTTCATGGATTCTCCGTCATCTTATGTTTTTTGGTACAATGTTTTATAATGTTTGTATGAGAAATTATTTTCATTTTTCATTGAATGGGAGAGCGTTGACTTCTTATACTTGTTGACGAAAGGGAAATTATTTCCATTTTCCACGCAGATTTTTTTTTTTGTTTATGTACGCTCGTACATTTGTATCGAATAAAGTAAAAAAGAATCACGAGACGGTTAATGAAGATATTTACAAGAGAAAAATAAGATGTATGAGGAAATCATTACTTGGAGAGAAGCTAGCTACTAACCGGTCAACTAAATACAGGTCAAAATGTGAATTTTCTTTCTGGTTGATCCGCCGGGAGCAAAATGCCGTATCATATGTGATGCACAACTTTAGTCGCACCTTCACCTAGCAAAATGTGATGGATAAATTTTTCACAGGGTTACCCATACAATTTCTATATGCATATGATGTTGAGGCTGTCAAAATTTTTTCAGTAAGTTAAGCCTCATAATGAGTTTTTCATAATAACGTAATTCAAATTCGTCTTTGACGAGAATTGAATCTAACATCTCTCACTTACAAGTGAAGAGAAATACTACTAGATCGTAATACAAAGTAAGTTTATAACTAGGTTTTAAGTATAAACACACCAACCATTTAGTACTATGGTCTAGCAGTATTGCTCTTTACTTGTAAGTGAGAGGTCTTAGGAGATTCTCGTCAAAGACGAATTCCAACCACAATATTGCTAGTTTATTATAAGATTAAGTCTCTTTTTAAGGTAAATGATATCGTTTGTAAAAAAAAAAAAAAAAAAAAAAGTATAAAAGCACCAACATAAAAGAAAGTATAAACACACGAATACACCACCATCACCACATAAACCTCTATTACTACTATTCTTCCGTGTCTGTCTGTCTGTCTTTCTGTCTCTGTCTCCCAAGCAGTTCAGTCCACACTACCTGTTACTATTCTTCCCTCTCTTCTATCTATTTAAACCCTCCTCTTAATCCTAAACCCACCACCACAACCGAGTCAAAAACCCAAAACAATGTCTCTCTCCGCCCTCACACTCGCACTTCTCCTCTCCCTCTCCCTCCTCTCATTTCTCCCCACACCTACCTACTCCGCCACCTTCAACTGCTCTGCCCCCGCCTCCAACACCTGCCGCTCCCTCATCGCCTACATCCCCCCTAACTCCACCACCCTCAACTCCATCAAAACCCTCTTCAACGTCACCCACTTCCGCACCCTGCTCGGCGCCAACAACTTCCCCATCGCCACCGACCCGGCCTTACCCGTCGCCACCGGACAAAGGGTCCTCATCCCCTTCACCTGCCTCTGCCGCAACGGCACTGGCATCTCCAACAAGCGGCCCCAGTACATAGTCAAGTCCGGCGACAACCTCGACCACATAGCCACCGTTCTGTTCTCGAGGCTTGTGACGTACCAGGAAATCGCGGCGGTGAATAAGATATCCGACCCCAGTCTGATTCGGATCGGGCAGAAGCTGTGGATTCCGCTGCCTTGTAGTTGCGATGAAGTGGACGGTGAGAGGGTGGTCCATTACGGACACGTGGTGGCGGCTGGGAGCTCGGTGGAGGCGATTGCGACGGAGTACGGGACGACCCAGGAGACTCTGCTGAGGATCAATGGGATATCGGATCCGAAGACCCTTCAGGCCAATCAAGTCCTCGATGTTCCTCTCAAAGGTCTTTTTTGGCTTTTCACCTTCTTTTTACCTTTTGTGTCTTTAACTTAATCATTAACTTGCCTTTTGTTTTGTTAGAGTTTTAACGAAAAACCGTGATGCTATTTATTTTAATGAAAAATAATATTTTTAGATTAAAAAGTTAAACATAATACTATTTACTTTATCTTTTATTTTATTTTTATCATTAAAATTTAAAGTTTTCAAATTTTTTTCATTAATTTTTTTTTTTTATTTTTGGGGTTTAAGATTAGTGAAAAAGCAGTCTAAAAAAGCTATTGACCTTCGATTTATCCTTCATATTATTGGTGGCAGCGATACTCGATACTTCAATTATATAAATGTTGATTGTGTGTTGGTGTGTTTGTTGGTGACAATAATTAACGACGTGACATCAGTTTATTAAATAGTCGTTAGGGACTAGAGAATCATTTTAAAGATTAAAAATGAACACCCATTTGGATTATTATAACTAGAATTAAGTTAAATCATTATCATGGTGACTTTGTTGAGATTTGGAAAGTTGGATAGGCTTTCAATTTATTTTCTGAAGTTAGATGGAATTTGATTATTTTGGAAAAGAGTAAAAAATAGATGCCAGTTGTTGCTCGGGGGTGGATTTATTTAAAATGTTTATGTCATCCTCATTAGTTGTGCTTTTAATTTAAAACTAAATAAACATCGAACATCCACCGTCGTGTTTTTAGGTTCGTATTTTAATTGCAATATTATACTATTTATGTATGTGTTCAAGAATTTCAAAGAGATGCTTTGACTATGTTTGGTACGAGGGATAGGAGAGTGTGAAGGAGGACTTTCCATCTCTTGAATTGTTTGGTAGAGTGGAAAGGTAACAGAGAGGGGTACTTTGGGGATATCCGATAAAATTGGAACGATACAGAGAAGATAAAAGCGGGGTAGACTCGAGAGATATCTTGGGAAAGTTATTTTACTTTATCATACTTGTTTGCAAGGTAAATTAATATGAAAAGAGTTGGCTTTTTCCTTTCCATCATCCACATTTCTCATTTACCGAACATAAGTTTCAGATTGATCATGTAGTTTGACCTAAAAAACTCGTCGATTACTGATTTCATGCTTCAGGCTGCTTGTAAGACCATTGTCCGTTGATTAGGTGCTACCGTGCTAATAGTTAAACTAAGTCTGCTCACTGTGGTGATCGCTTAGTTCACCCGACGCTTCCTTGACGTAGTATTTGAAATGTTTGCAGAATATCAATGCTTTAGTTATAGATTTACTGATGTTGCAATTTTAATTGGCAGCTTGTTCGTCTTCCGTATCCAATGAATCATCTGACGCCCCTTTACTGGTTTCTAATAACACCTACGTCTTTACTGCCAACGATTGCGTGAAGTGCCAATGCAGTTCTGCAAACAATTGGACGTAAGTGCATTGCTTACCGGTTTGGTTTTGTTGTACTCAGTTTTCTTTTACCATTGGTGGATTCTAACAATCTATGTCAATTTTCATATCTGTACAGCTTACAATGCCAGCCATCCACCTTTAACTTAACTGTATGCCCTGCGATGCAATGCGAGGATTCAAGTCTGACTAGTAAGCTATTACTTGGCAACAGCATATCCGGTTGCAATCAAACAACCTGTGCCTATGCTGGTTATACTAACCAGACCAAGATTCTTACAACCTTGGTAACACACTCCATTTGTTCAGGTAAGCTCGCTTTACTCTGTTTCACGTGTAACAACTAAACATGCTATTAGTGGTAAAGAAATCTTTCATTTCTCTCTCGGTGTCGGGGACCAGATTCAATTTTGATATGAATTGACAGATACCGGATGACTAGAAGAAAAGAAACTAGTCAAACACAGCTCCGACATATGCATTCTGTAAATTTTGTCAGCAATTACGTTTTTAGCGGGTTGAAATTGCCTATGATGATTTAGTTGGACATCTACGCAAACAGTGGTTATCATCAACTCGAACTGACATCTTTTTCTTTGTTGGCGAACAGATAATAACAATAACGCTTCAAAGATGAGTTTGCAAGGCTCGAGTTGGAACTTCCTTTTCGTGGCAATTCACTTGGTGCTTCTCTTTCTTCATGTTCTTCAATGAGATGTTGGTAAGTCTCTACAATGTCGTCCACCTTTTGCTTGTTCTAAGAGGATGAGGGAACCAAATTATAATGTAATTCTTCTGTACATCTCCTAATGTGCGAGTAAATATCAAATGTATTGGCAAAGCCGTGCTCATGCCTTTCGTAGAGTAGATTTCTATGTTTTGCGGTCGCTAGGAATCGAATCAAAGACGTTCAACTTCATGTAACTTATTTCCCTTCTATTTTGGTAATTACGGATAACGTTATTATGCTAAAAAATTGCTGGTTTGGATGTTGGTTGTTCTTATTTTGTTTGTTGAATTTTGGAGAATAATTCCTGCAATTATATGATGCATCCCACCGAAACCTTACGTAACTAGTTTTATTGGACCAATCCCAACCATTATTTACCCATTAACTATAAGGAAAACTAATAAATATGGTTTGAAAACTTTGAGTTTTAACGATAAGAACAAAATAAAGGGTAAAGTAAATAGTACCAAGATTGATTTTTTTAGTGTAAAAATGTGATTTTTCGTTAAAGCTCTCAGTACTGTTCATTTTAACGAAAAACCACTCATTTAACTATATGCTTATATTTCACATAATGTTTAATCAATATAGCTAACTATTAATGTCATTGAGAATAGAGCAACTTACATGAAATGGGTTCATCGCTCCACGATATTTCAATTCAATAATACAGTGTCATATGTTGAAAAATTTACACATGTCATTTTTAGAACGGGACGCCACCACTTCACTTCTTTGAACTCTTCAAACTCAAATTTGAAAAATTCAAACCAAAAAAACTCAAACTTGCAAAAGAAAAACGACTCTCACAAAACATCATATGAGCAACAGAGATTTTACACATATGGATTAGTTCATAAAACAAGAAGATTTATTTCCATTAAACATCATGTAATCATAGGGTAGAAAACAAAATCCCGACAAGGGCAATGGTGATCACAAGTGGCGCATTGTACCGTTGGTCCACATTAGTTCGGGACACCATACGTAAGATGCACTACTGCGCCGGGAACAAATCCAGCCGAGTAAAAATCCTGCGACATGTCTCTCATCACTTGCTTCGCCGGAGCAGTAAATAAGTAAAACGGTAACTCCGGCCGAGCAATGACTTTCCTCAGGTAATCCACCAAGCTCTGGATTTTATCCGACGGGTGAAAGGTCGCCTCCACTGTGCGGTTATCCGGAAACCTGACCCCAATCACCGCCCTTGTGATCGTCGACCTGCGTTTTGCGTCCTCTGCCTCTCTAATCTTCTGCGTTTTGAGGAGCTTGTCTTCTTGCTGTCGCGGGCGTTAAGTGCGGTAGTAATCCTCTGGGGTGAAGTCGTAGAACGGCCTGTTGAATTGGTGGCCAAATTGTAGTGGGCCACTTATTGACCCAATAGCCCATTCAGTGGGCCTTTTATTTAACCCACGTGGAAGCCATGTGATGTGGCTTGTAGGGTTTTTCAATTGGCAGCAGCTGCTGCCCATCTTGTCTTCGTTACAATAGAAAACAGTGAGCAGCACAGGGAAGAAAAAAGAGCCACTGCCGCAGCCCCATTTAATCAAAGTTGTATTTGTGTATTAACTTTGAGCTTTATATAGAGAGGAAATTATTCACTATATTTCCTTATCTATTTGTTTCTTTGTTGAGTGAGAGCTATTAGGTGTATTGGAGTTTTGGGTTGTAAGATTGCTAACACTTTGTAAACTCACATTTGGTTGATAGTGGATTATTTGGTGAGCCCCTACTGCTTCGAGGACGTGCTCCAGTTATACTGACTGTTGAGGAACCTTGTTAAAATCTTGGTGTCTTTTATATTTTGTTCTTGCATTTCATTTGATATATTATCTGTGGGTTAGCTTGAGTTGATTCCAATTGGTTTGGTGCTATTCTAGCACAACACGGTCGATACTGGCTGTGTGATTGACGGCGCCGATGAGCCGCCTTCGTTTGAAGGATCCCAAAGAGGCAACGCCAGCCATCATCGTGAGAATTCACGGGTTCGCGACAATGAGCGAATTGGTGAACAAGAAGATGAAAAATTAACGGAGGGAATTTTGCGATTGTGTGATTGTATATACACGCGATTGATTTTGCTCTCCATTTAAATTTTGGAATAGCTTTTTAAGTTTTACTTTTGTGTGTCCTGTTTGGAATAGGATACGCTAATTAGACAAAACGTTTTATGAGATGAGCATAATTCCGCAATTTAGTTCCTAATAGTAAAAGTCTGTTAATATTATCGTTAAATTGTCACGTGTACAATCAGTTAGCCTCTTTTTTAAAGGTATTTTTGTTAAACAAACTCTTCCACCAACCAGTTAGCCTCATAACTTAGAACGTATTATCTATGAGCAGGGAATTCATTTAAATGCTAGCCAACTTCCATCTGCTGTGGGAGGTTGGTTGTTCATCCATTGCATCAAATTCCGATCATGTTTTGAGCAATTATGAGTAGTGCTAGGTTTTCACATGCACACTGAATGTACCTTCTCAGTGATAGGATATAGATTTTACACACATACAAACTCTAACTAATTTGTATTTACAACATATTAATTCGCTTTCATCATAAAGTAGTTGAGTCCAAATAAGATTCTTATACGCAGTTACTAAGCATGGTCTCCCATGTGGTAATGGCGGAACACGCCAATGTTTCCATTTGAATTTAATCAATCAAATCCCATCTTTTGTCAACAAAAAGGAAAAAGATTCCCACACACATGTGAAGTGAAGTAACATGTTGGGACAAAACAAGAGAAATGGTATCTACTTAAATTCCTTTCTCTTGCTGCAAACTCCTGTTATTTTTAGAGAAAAGATTTATACACATTTTTTTTGAAAAGATTATACACATTATTTTTCACTTGATGAAACTTTTTTTTTAATCATTGAATGTAATAAATCAAGATGTGTGATATCAACATATCCCATTTTACTTCTCACATACATTTTTAATTTTTGACCGTCGGATTGAATAAATTGAAGAAAATTAACGAACAAAAATTATCAAAAGTATGTGAGAAGTAAAATGAGATGTGTGAATAACACATCCCTAAATCAAATAAGAATCAATTTTTGATGAAGCATACGGAAGAGTAAAATGATGATTCACATAATTCTTCATTAATTTAAGGGAAAATAAAAAGGTGTCATTTCATGAGGTGGCACGTGCTTAATATCCTGAGAGCGATGATTGCACAAAGGGAAACGCAAACCTCGTGACCAGCCCCCGTTCCCCACGATTATTTGCAGCAGCGTTCGCATCCGTGCCCATCAGCCATGTAAATGTAAACCCAACCACGGACCACTCTTGGCCCCTCTCTCTCTGTCTCTCTCTCACTCACGCACTCAATTCTCCCTCTCTCTTCTTCTTCCTCACTGCAAAACCCCAATAATCTCGCTCTCTCTCTCTGCACAAAGGTAACTCCTCTATTTTCTCTTTACTCTCTCTCTCTGTTTCCCCTGTTTTTTTTATAAATTTTCATGGGAACCAAACAGATTGTTCGGGCGCCGCTTTAAATGTTTCGCAGTTTTGTTTTCGTTTTTGTCAAATGTGCTGTACGGATTGTGGTTTTCACAAATTTGAATTTTTGTTTCGGAAAAGTGGGAACTGATTGTTTGATTGTGCAAATTTCGTTTCTTTTTGCATAATTGAGGTTTAATTACTGGTGGTAAGCCTTGGTGTTCGGAAATTCTGATAAATTTTGGATTTTCCTTTTGATTTTGAAGGAATTCCAAGAACTGGTGAAAATGGCGGTTACCCAGGTCAGAAGTGGCGCCCTTTCTAACGGATTAACCGCCGGAGCCAGTGACCGCAACCCGATAACTCGAAAGTCCAGGTTGTTTAATTCATTGCACAGAAGGGGAGATTGTAATATTGTAGCAAGAAGTGGTAGGAAGGATTTGAGCAATGCAAATGCTGTGGGGAGATACAATCTGTATGCTACACGAAGAGCACTGTGCACGCCGCTAGTGACACGCCGCAGAAGACCCTGTTTCCCGGTGGTGGCTAATCAATTGAGTTCGGATTTGGGTGTGGGATCCTCTGAGGTGGAAGGAAAGTTGGGTTTGGAGGAAGTGGAAGCTCTCATAGGTGTAGGGAGTGGTGACCTGTAAGACCTTATAGCCGACATTACCTTGTTATGTTTAAATTTTTGGTTGCTTTAGTTTCTTGAAATGCTGCTTTTATTGTTGTGTAACTTTTATTTTTTTTTTCTTGATTGATGCTCTTACTTTTGTAATCTTGTATAATTCTTCTTAAAATTAAACATAAAATAGGCGCATTAATGGAGTTGCATGTTGCTTTTCTCTAAAATGCTTGGTAGCGATCTGTCTAAGTTGAACTGCGCCTTTTACTTGCAACGAAATTCATATGTTTCTTTTCAAATTTGTTAGAAACTTATCGTTTGGAAAAAAAAAAAATTATGAGTTTGTAGAGTGGCTGGTGACTGAGCATGATAGCTTTAGATAAAATTTTCTACTTTTTATGGAAGCCTCCCAATCCCTTCATCTTCTAGTCCCTCCCTTCGTATGTGGTTTGGTTTATAAGTGCAAGCAAGCTAATTTTGATTTTGTTCACTTAATTTTGATATTGAAGCTTATATGAGAAATATTACTGTCAATAGCTTTCGGGAATTGTCTATTTCAGCGAGTCTCTGAAATTGTTATTATTACTCTTAGTTTTTAGTTGATGGGGAGTATGAACTTCGCTACCTATGTTAAGCATTGTTTTTTGTTTGTTTTGGGTTGGAGTTTAATAACATTTCTATCAGTGAAACATATTCTCCAGATGTCAAACGCGAGCTATTGATGCTTTCTTTACCTGCAATTCTGGGTCAGGCCATTGATCCATTAGCACAACTAATGGAGACTGCATACATTGGCAATTTGGGTTTGTTTCACTCCTTTAAATGTGTTCAGTGACTGATAACTGTATAATTGATTTGAATTTGGAGCTCTTTACTTATTTTGCTTTTGTTTTTCCATAGGTTCTGTGGAATTGGCTTCAGCTGGTATTTCAATGAACATCTTTAATTATATCTCAAAGATATTTAATATCCCTCTCCTCAGTGTTGCTACATCTTTTGTTGCTGAAGACCTTGCTAAGAGTGAAAGTAAAGGTTCTATTTCAGGTGAAGTTCAACTTTTGTTTTACTTCCCAGTCATCTTTGTTGTACACATATTTGGTCAGTTCTTATGTCTAAATTAGAGCAGAGATTACTCAAACCCTTTTCTTTTTTTTTTTTGGCAATCTGATTTTGGCTAATTTTCATACAGAAAATGGTTGTCTAAACGGCAATACTAATGGTAAACTCAGAACTGTTGATGGAGTTGTTGAGAGAAAGCAGCTGTCTTCAGTGTCTACAGCTTTATTGTTAGCAGTTGGGATTGGAATTTTTGAGGCCGTGGCCCTGTCTTTGGGATCTGGGTTGTTTCTAAATATGATGGGCATATCATCAGTAGGTTACCTGATCTAAAATTACATCTCATACTGATTTGTTTGTCTGCCTTGTCTTATATCTTTTTGCAGAATTATACGAACTTTAGTTTTGTGTATACATAAATGTAATTATATATATATATATATATATGTGAACAATTACTATACAAGTTTCGAGGTCTTGTGCATGTGCGATTACTTAATTTGATTTTTTATTTTTGGTTATGAGGGGAGCACATACGTTTTCTGGTTTCCCCTCTCATCTTTGACTGTTTATTTTAAGGAAGATCTTTGTCCCCTCGAATATCACAGGACTCACCTATGCGCATTCAAGCACAACGATTTCTTCAACTAAGAGCATTTGGTGCTCCCGCAGTAGTAGTGTCTTTGGCTCTTCAAGGAGTTTTCCGTGGATTTAAGGATACAAAAACTCCAGTACTATGTCTAGGCAAGTTTTTGGTTATATATTTTTAAACGTTCAAGTGACATCCTTTATAGATAGCAGTATGAATTTGTCATGTGTGACTGCTGAAATGCCCGGTTAATCTATTGTCATCAGCATCTTTGCTGAGGGGAGAGCACTGGGGAAGTGGTGTAACACTTTGTTATCCACTACAATGCTATGTATTTGTGCTACATGTCCAAATGGCCTTTAGCATCTTTTGATTGAACATGAAATAATTTGAAGCTTTTGGGATGGAAACTCTAATTTTCTATAAGGTGTACAGCCACACACACAGCCACACACACACACACACAAACAATATTGGTCTGTTATTCTTGCACAGTGTATTTATAGTCTTGTCTACAACTTGTTGATTTCCATTTTTTTCTAGTCTAGCTTGAATGCTCCTTCAAGTTAATTGATGTATTGTTATTTGTGCAGGTATTGGTAATTCGTTAGCTGTGTTTTTGTTGCCCCTCCTTATTTATTATTTTCGTTTGGGTGCAACTGGTGCAGCCATTTCCACTGTTATATCTCAGTATGTGATTTTCAATAGACTTTCTGTAAATATTACCCTTTTTTATTTGTAATTAGAAACTGAATTTTATGGAATTTCTGTTTTTCAGGTACACTGTCACCTTTTTAATGATCTGGTTTCTAAATAAGAGAGCTATACTATTGCCTCCGAAGGTTGGATCACTACAATTTGGTGGATACCTTAAATCAGGTAAGTTTTATTTCCTTTTATTGAACGTTTTACCCTCTCATCTATCTGAGATTCTGAATATATACAGCTTTATTCCAGCTCTCTGATTCATTGATTTTCTTGACTATCATAGTAATTCACTATTTCTTCCGATTCAGTGCATATGTATCAGGGCAGTGTATATTAATGTTTCTTTTGTCTTTGTGTTGGTTGTTAAACTTCTTTCATTACCCCAGTGATAATTCTCTCGTCTTCATATTCAAAGTTTGTTACCTAATTGCTTTTGGTAACAACTCTACGATGTTGTAGGTGGCTTTCTTCTTGGACGAACTCTTGCTTGTCTTACAACCTTGACATTGGGAACATCAATGGCGGCTCGTCAAGGTCCAGTAGCTATGGCTGCTCATCAGATATGTATTCAAGTATGGTTGGCTGTATCCCTTCTAACTGATGCAATGGCTGCATCTGGTCAGGTTGGACTCACTCTTTTTATCATCGTTGTCTGTATCTTACTTGTTTCCATTATTGAATCAGCATGTGAAGCCTACGTATAATTTCACTAAAATTCACTGATATTTGTCTTCTCGAATTGGAGTTTTTTGAAGAATTGTGTCGTTGTATATGGCATCAAAGTTATGAAGAGCTAAAATGTCTCTATTTGCAGGCCCTGATTGCAAGTTACTTATCAAAAGGTGAATACAAAATTGTGAAAGAAGTTGCTGACTCTGCGTTAAAGGTATTTGTTTTTTTTTACTTATGTGTGGTGTAGTTTTGTTACGTTGCATATGATTGTGTAGTTTCTTGATTTCAAATACGATAAATTTACGTGAATGCTTTTTTTTCAGATAGGATTGTTCACAGGTGTTTCCTTGTCTGTAATTTTGGGAGTATCTTTTGGTTCTCTAGCTACGTTGTTCACCAATGATCCTGAAGTATTAGCAATTGTTAGATCTGGGATATTGGTACGTATTCAAATTTATGTTTGGTGGTATATTAGTCTAGATTTATGCAACATGTCTTTAACATAGGTAACGATGTTTAATTTTCCACAGTTTGTCAGTGCTAGTCAGCCTTTAAATGCTCTAGCTTATGTTTTCGATGGCCTCCATTATGGTGTTTCAGATTTTGCATATGCCGCCCGCTCCATGGTAAGCTTGCTCCCTTAGAAGAGCCGAAGTTATTCAGTCATGTCTTTATTATTGCTTTGATTATGAAAGTGTACATATTTCTGTTTTTGTTGCTGACAAAATCTCTATTATTAATAGATGGTAGTGGGGGCATTATCTTCCGCATTTTTGCTATATGCTCCTTCCATCTTTGGCCTTCATGGAGTTTGGCTGGGTTTGACTCTCTTCATGGGCTTGCGCGCAGTCGCAGGCTATGCCAGGTAATAATATACCATGTCAAATTTTTAATCGTGAATATAGTACTCTCTTCAATAACCAATCCAACTTTTAAGTAAGTGGTTGGTTTACAAGTTATAACTCCTGATGATAATAAATCTAAGGCTTATATTGCTAAAATATGAATACGGCATTTGCTTATTTTCCTAGTAGAAGAGGCATAATGATTATTCAGGTCTGCATTTTACGTTTATCAGCATCATCGCTATCTCTGTTGCTGCTTATTCGTATCTTTATTTTTCTTCTGTTCTCCTTTCAGATATCTGTCAAAATCAGGCCCGTGGTGGTTCGTGCACAGGGATTTCCAGATAGCTCAGGTTAGTGAACATTCGAAATTCTTCTAATGCTGCATTTTTCTGTTTTTATTTTTGTAAGAACTGCAAAATATTTTCACTCTGGTTCTTGACGGACTAGTTGGAATATGCCGATGAAGCTGTTAAAAGTTAATGTTGTCGCCGCCTCATCTATTTTTTCCTTTAAAATTTAGAGAGAGGATTTATATGAACTATGAACATGTTTCCTGGTTTTAGAATGTGCCTAAAACTGCATGATCCACTTCCTTTCCCAGCTAGCCACTTGAGATTGGCAAAATCAATTCGATTGAATGATATCATAGGCCGAGTATCTCCCACAAGCCGAAGAGAGGTTTCAGCTGCGAATTGCGCGTTTGTTTCAATATTTGTATTATATGATTATGTATTTTTATATTCATTGATAATTTTTGCGTACGAAAAACAGACCTGAATATTCCTTTTGTAAATTCCAGTTTACCTTTACTGTGATCCTTGTGGTGAAAAAGTCATAATAAACACATGTGGTGAGTCATGTTAGCAAATACGGTCCAATTCCAAACTTTAGTTATAAGACCCCAGGGTTTAAAGTCTTCATGAGATTGTTTTCCTTGAAACAATGTAGCTTCTACTTCTTGGATACATCTCTCTAGGCCTTGACTTCACCAAATTCACACTCCTTCAGTTGTCGATCCCCCAAATCCCCAACGCTTGACAACGAGGCATGCCGTCGGGCTCTCCAGCCACTGGATGCTGGGTTGGAAGCTGGTGTTAAAGTTTCTAGCTACACAAAAGGACTTCGAAAAGCCCGTGACCATGGCGTAACATACTTTCTTTTTGGTAACTAGAAAGCGAATTCAATTGAAATTTGCGCACTTATTTGTTGAAACAACATAAAATAAAGGGTTAATCTCAGTTTACCATCCTGAAGTTTATTGGTTTTCAACATTTAATACATGAAACTTTTTTTATCTTAGAGTGGTACATAAAATAAAAATTTTGGGACATTTTTACACATTCGTTAAGAAAGAAAGTGGAGATTAATGGCGCCGAGGGTTTGGTTGAGGGAATTGAGGGTGTGTGTGGAGAGGGTGTGCATAGGAGAGAAGGGAGGGAGGGGGTCGGGGGTTGAGGTAGGGGACAGTCCATAAACTTCCTTTTTTTTTTTTTTTTTTTTTTTTTTTTAATTTTAAAATATTTATGTGGCCCTTATGACACGTGGCGTCTAGTCACTGTCCACGTAAGCACTACGTCACCAGTTAACGGTTAATTTAATAGCAAAATAATGAAAGTGTCCCTCAACGTCATCAGTTAACGGCTAATTTAACAGCAAAATAATAGTTTATATATTTATGATGGTGATATAAACTATTATTTACTTATGAAGAAAATTGACATCATAATCTACCTATAACAATTATATATAAACACAATTTGTACATATTGTAATGAAAGAAAATAGAGAATAAATAAATACATGCTAAATAAGCCACTTAGTACTACGGTTTTGTGATATTATTTGTAAGTAAGAGATCTTATATTTGATTCTTCCTAAAGGTGAATTTGAACCACATTATTGTGACTCACCTTGTGAGGTTTAACTCACTCTCCCACTCTTTTAGTATAAATAATATCGTTAGTGCTAAAAAAAAAAAAAAAAAAAAACCCTGCTAAATGTATCGCAACAGGTAGAAAATATAAAAGGATGACTTTATATGTACGTTGATAAAAGATAAGCCATGTCATCATTTGAATCAAGCTAGAGGAGGTAAATACAAAGAAGATGACCCTTACATTTTATTTAGTGTGAAAATTGAACTTGCCAATTTACTCGGATTACGGTTTTGTTTGATATTTAGTATGAAAGTGGCCATAAATTACATTAAAAACAAATTAGGGTTAAATATGAGTTAACCCGTCAACTGAAGGGCATAATGAGAAGTTAATTGGGCGAAAAATATGATCAATGAGTTTAATAGTAAAACATGAGGATTTATCCTAAAATGTGCTTGGGAATTGGGTTAATGTGCAGCCCATGTGAAGTGGGCAACATTTTACTATTACGTAATTACTCATCAACCCTAAACTCTGAACCCTATCAAACATATTCGACTTTTGGTGGTATGTACTCATCAACAATTTTTTAATTAGCACCCAACAAAATACACTACTCATATATAAATATATTCATTCAGATTGATGAATTGATGATGATAATAATACAAAGACGGTAATGCCTCCGGTCAAATTTGTACAGCTCGGCACTATGGAGATAAGATTGGTTTTGATGAGTCGCTTCATCGTCATCCCTCAGGCCACTTCATCTTCATTCCTCAGCACTATGTGTTTTATCTGTCAGGCTTGTGACATCTGTAACCTCAACATATGGCGACTCTGAAAACTTATCTACACTGAAAGCGCATTGATAAGTGAAAATTCTATTGCAGGAGAATTTTCTATCCTTCTATTCTTATCTTTTTTTTATCCCTTCATCTCACATATTATTTTTTATCTTATTATCTTTATAAAAAAGTTAATATAAGATGTTGACGTAGTTTAACCGTAACCGTTCAAATAAGAGAAGATAGAAGAGTAGAGAGATTAGGAGAGTAGAGTTCGGATCGAAAGACAAGCACAGTGAGGCTATAGCGGCATAGGCCATTGAGTCCATTGTCTTGGGACAAACACATAATTAATTTTCACCTGATAATACTTGCATTTTAAGCGCTCAGGCACTAAGTTAACACAGTATTAACTATTCATTTTTACTCTACATTGTGTCTTACGATTTACACGGTTCATTTTTATATTTTCATTGAAAAACCATCCATACGCAAATTCATTTAAGCCAAAAGCATTTAATTATTTTAATATGGACTAAATAAATAAACAAATACAGTATTTTTTATAAACAATGAAATCTTCATGGTAATACTCAAACTGAAATGATTTTTTTTTTGGTAGAAATGATGCTTGAATTAGAAACTAAATTAATGAATTTCTAGAATCACAAGATTACACTGAAGAATTGGTCAAAACAATTGATTTTAGTCTTGTGTTGTAACGAAAATTTTGGTTTTCCTTCAATGTTTTTGGTAACTTAAATATACTTGGTATGATTATGTTTTTTTTTTGTGAGCCTTTAAATAAACTATTTATTTAAGGGCTTACTCCTGTGGTCAAATTGAGAGCTTTTCACCGTCTGTGTTAGGGCATCCTTTCTTCAGAGATTAGAGAATTTGAGGTTTGATTCTTTGTGAGTTTGTAAGCTTGTAAGGATTGGCTGTATGAGAGGAAGTGAATATTGAGAGATTTTTTATTTGTCTAACAAACGAGAGGATAACTACATAACGAAGATCTAATATTTCATATTTGTTTATTGGAATGTCCATCAAATGCCTGGGGATGTAACTGTAGCACCGATGATGTGCTGATGCTCAGTAAGCAACACACTTATGATCATGCAAGCCATGATGAGTCAGGAACTGTGAGTGGCAGCTGCAATCACCGACAACCAGCAACAAACGTGGCCAGCAGCAGTGGGCATCGACTGAACCGATTGCAACCAGCAACAAACGTAGCCATTTTGAATGACCACCGACTAGATTCACCAGCCATATCAGTCGGTGTGGTTCCACCATTTTTGAGGAAATCAAATAGGAGAATGATATAGACTTGTCTTACAAGACAAATCTATTTCAAGTTAGTAGAACAAAAGGAAGGAAAGAAACCAATAAGGTGTAAGTGGGTATTCAAGACGAAGGATTCGAATGTAAATGTTGATTACAAGGAAACATTCAGCCATGTGTCTACAATGATGCATTTAGGGTGATCATGGCGATTGTTGCTCATTACGATTTAATTTTACACCAAATGGACGTTAAAACTGCGTTCTTAAATGGTGATTTAGATGAGAGTGTGTATATATATATGAGACAGCTAGAAGAGTTTATAGAAGAAGGAAAGGAGAAACTAATGTGAAAATTGAAGAAATCTATCTATGGTCTCAAGTAAGCATCGAGACAATGGTATCTTAAGTTTCAAAGGGTGGTGAAAGAGTATAGTTTCATTGAAAATCCCTCTGATGCTTGCATTTACATGAAGATCAGTGGGAGCAATTTTATTATACTTGTTCTTTATGTGGACGACATTCTCCTTGCCACAAATGTTGCATGTTTGTTAGATGAAACTAAGTCATTCCTGCAAAAGAATTTCGAAATGAAGGACCTTGGGGAAGTAACATATGTCCTTGGAATTGAATTAAAGAAGATAGAAGGAGAGGATTACTAGGGTTGTCACAAAAAGGATATATCGAAAAGGTTCTTAAAAGGTTCAACATGTCTTCTTGTGGAACCACAGAAATGTTGATCTCAAAGGGTGGTAAACTAAGCAAGTCTCAGTGCCCTAAAACTGATTTAGAGAAGAAAAACATGGAGGAAAGACAATATGCTTCTTTTATTGGAAGCTTGATGTATGCACCGGTGACGCTTATTGGAATGTAGCAAAAATAGTTTTAAGATATCCTCAGAAGACCAAAGAACACATATTGGTTTATAGAAGTGCATATAATCTTATATTGGAGGGTTACAGTGGCTCAGACTTTGCTAGGTGTCCAGATGATCTTAAGTCCACATCAGGGTTTGTTTTCAGAATCGCAAGTGGTGCTATTTCATATAGAAGTATAAAGCAAGCAAGCAACAATGGTAGCTTCAACCATGGTGGCTGAGTATCTTTCTTGTTGTGAAGCCAGTAATCAAGCTATTTGATTGAAAATTTTCATCTCAGGTCTAAAAATGGTTGATTCAATTTCAAGACCGATTCATCTTTTCTTTGACAATAATGCAACCATATTCTTCACCAAGAATAACAAAAGAGACTAGGGCTATGTTTACTGAACCCTTGTACAGGACTACACCAGTTTTAGTTTCAAGAAGCATGTCACAAAGATGAGAGTTTTGGTAAGTTTCAATGCAGTTGACTAGTGGAAGCTAAGTATTATTTAAAGAATTTTCTTGTTTTCTAGTTGCCAAGTTTGTTTATTTATCATATTCAAAGATTACTAAGGATTCTTGACTAACAAAGTTGAAACTGTGAGGTTGTCAAAGTTTTCCCTTAAATATGCAGTTTAGTTGAGAATGTTTGTATATATTTTATATGCATAATGGTATGACAATCTGTGCAATTGTTATCAAGATTAACAACCATTAAGATGAATTGTTTTTTTCAATTCGAAAGAGGACCATGTACTGAGATGATGATGAATACATATGCATACTTTTTCAATACAATAATTTTCATATCTTGTTGGGGTTTAATGAGTTGGCCAGCTTTGTAAATATTATTATGGGGATAATATTCAAGTTAAAGAATATGTTACCCTTTAGTCCTTTACAGATGTTGGTTAATGACCTAAACCTGGAATCATGATTTGTGTCAATATTGATCTCGTGGCCATTTAAGAAGAATCTCGCATTAAGTTTAGCAATGGTTAACCAAGTGTAGCTCTAGTGAGAAAATGTAAGTTTTGAAGAGATCTATACACTTG